TTTAATATGAAAAAGGACAGTAGTTAAATATTTAAGGTGTTATTATATAAGTTACTGGTGTATTAATTACAAATTTATTTTACCTATACTGGTATTATAGAGTTGCCATCGCGTTTTATGGTACAAAAATTTATATAGAAACTTGAAGATCGAAATCTGGTTAAATTTTACAAAAATTACTTATTTATGAAAGCCTAATATATTATGTATTAAAAAGTAAATAATAAATAAAGACAAGAATTAGAGTACAATCTTAATTGGAAACTATAAGCAAACTATAATTTTTCATTATCATAAAAAAATTTAAGAGAATTTCGAGAAAATTATCTAACAATTTAAAATTTCTGGATGGTTTTATAAAAATATCTAATAATTTTATTATCACAGGAGAAGAAATTAAAAATTTTAAGATGTAAAACTTTTTAAATCAAGTAACCCTACCATTTTTAAAATTCAACTTTATATATTGATTTATTATTGTAATAATAAAATTTCATTTCCTGATAAAAAAATAAGCAATTTGATTGAATAAACACCTACAAATTACAAATGACTGTTCATTCATAACACCTACATATGTAAATAAAATCAAAGTCTTGTACCTACTCCGAATTCTTTTGCCTATTTATAGTCAATTTTAAGAACGTTTCTTTACCCTATTTATCACATTAACATCACTACAAGAAACTTTTGTAACATCTACACTATTTTATGTAGATCTCTATGGCGCGTGATTCTGATAATTGTTTGATCAATATCGAAAAAATAATTTTTTTGTAATTTAATGCACCTTCAGTTTTGGTTCAAAATATTCAAATGTAATTAACTCAAATCTATACTATGAAATGTGTTTACGTTTCATTGAGAATGTGAAATTTTTCGAACCTCATCCCATAGCCATATATTCCTGGAAATGAATTGTAATGAACCACGGAACCTCATTTTAGAAATTTTAATTGTAAGACAGTCATTTAAATCATTGTAAAACAGAAATGAAAATCAAATAAATTTCAGTTCAAACAATGCACACAAAAAAGATGTTATTTTAGAATAATTTATGTAGATAAGTATGTATGTGTATTAAAATCGTTAAGCAAAAACAAAACAACACTTTATCAATTCTTCAAACTTTCATATGTGAAAATTAATTATTAATTAATTTATAAAATATTTTTAATGCTTTTAATTAACCTTTAATAACTTTATACTCCTTTTTACATCCACATGCATATGAAGTTATGGAAATTTAAACTTTGAATGAGTCTTTTATGTTAATAACGTTTCAATCTCTTAAAATTTCATTTCACTTGCATTCAACTTTCATGTTATTCACAAAAAAAAAAAATAAAATGAACACAAAAAGAAAAACCGAAATTCAGGAATTTAAATATTCTGAAAGTAACAGTAAATATGCGAAATTATTATTACTTACAATAAATATTGCACGTGTTATCGGAACTAAAGTCGGGAGACGTTTAATTTTTCAAAGATCTTCATATATTTTCCAACATTTTACCTCTACAATTTTCTTTTCTTTTAATTTTTTAATTTTCTTATTTTTTTTTTATTAAAGTGGTAACAAAATGTTATTGTTACTGTTGTTGCTGTTAATGTTAGTTATTTATTATTTTTTTTCTTCATTTTTCATTATCTTCTCTTACATGACCGAGAGAAATGGTGTTGCCGTAATACAAACATCATAATAAACAGCATTAAATTATAACATACTTATAACAGTAACCAGTTAATTAATATTGAAAAATTATAAAATGCAACACACTGATGAGAAGAATCAAAAATGTGTTCATATATGTACATAAAATATTGTTGTTGTATTATGAGACATATGAAGAGAATACATAATATAAGTTTGTATAAAATATTTTCATCTCTACATGTGAGTATATAAATTAAATGCGAATTCTTATAGTAAAAATTGTATATGATTAAGGTGACCATACTTTTAATGAGGAAAATATAGGACAGTTTTTAAGTAAGTACTTTTTAAATAAAACTCCTTTTAAAAATTTAACTCAATACAGCAGGACATGTACAAAAGAGGCATTGATTTCTAAATTAAGAAAAGAATTAAATTCGAAACTTAAAAGCAGCTCAGAAAAATGTTTGAGAATGTAAAACTATTTGCTCTAAACTCTAAAGCCAATCACGTTTGTAGGAAAATTTTTGCAATTCTCTTTATTTTTAGTGCAGTTTTTTGTCGTCTCCCTCTCGAAAAGTTAAATAGATTTTAGTGACGAAGTTTTTTTTTTAAACGTCAGTTCAAAAGAAATGTATTATATTTAATAAAATATTAAAATCGGTTCCTCTTATTTTTCATGAATCAACGGCTCATTGATTGATTAAGGGCTCCTTAAGACAAAAGTTAGTTCCACTTTAAATAGTTCAAGTTAAAACTGACAAACCTACGAATCCAGCTTAACATGACCAATTTTTAACATAAGCAATCTTTTAAAAGAAACAATTTTAAAAATATGTGACATATGCAGTGAAAGTGACGATATATGAAAAAAGCATTTTTGTGAAAGGAAATAAATTAATAGTAACAATAACAACAAGAAAATAAAGTATTCTTCTAAAAAATATAGTACATATGGTCGCTGTGTATATAATACATAATTTAGCTGCATCTTTACTTTTAACAGCACATGATAACGTAATATACAGTGTGCTTACAGAAAGAAAGATTAACAACAGAATTAAAAATTAAATTGAATTTTGAATGGTTACTTAAAATCTTTTTCAAAATTTTCAGATTTTTGATAAGCCACTTATCATTTTGCTACATGATATTTTGTTATCGGTATTAATTTTCGTTATAGCATTTTAGGTATCGTGAAAATTATAAACTAACATAATATATGGTTTTCTTTAATTTTAAAAATTATATAATATATAATTTAAAATTGTTTATTGTACGACTACTCACCCAAATATATTTTAGCAAAATCCATGACAAGTGATTAAAATGTTAATAAAGAACCGAATGTAAGCTAAGTGAACTTATGTTTTTAGATTTTTTTTCTGTTTATTAACAATTACGAGTATATACATATATTTTGTTCCATAGAAAGGAAATTTTATTTTGTAAGCATAAAGAATAGAAAATTAAAATGAAATTTAAAAAGAAGACGCTTTATGCTTGCATTAAAAATGTAAGCAACTCACGATTTTAAATTTTTTTTTAATTAAAATAGTTTAAAACTTAAAAAAAAAATAAAAGTTTAACTTAAATTCACTTGCATAGAATTTAATTGAATCGTGCTAAATAAGTTTGTATACTGCCACCGCGTACTTAAAATTGTTTTGGTTAGATATTCTGAATATTGCCTTAAGTATTTGTTTTAATTTCCGTATATATTTAATAATTATATTTTAATATTTTAAAGTGCCGGAATCGCATCTTTACTATACTCAAGCCATTAACCATTGCTCGTGTATTGCACTTAACAAAATCATAACTAACACATATACTCACGTGCTGTTGCTCTTGCGTATTTTTTAGTTATATTTTATTTATTTTATAAGTAATTGTTGCTCTAATTGTTTACTACGTTTTTGAAATAAATTTTTCTATCAAAAGTTTAATATTTGTTTGATGCAAAGAGGTACTCAACTTAAGAAACATTTTAGTTTCCTTTACATATATGTAGTTATGGCATTGTAATTTAAAATTAAGTTCGCTTTATGTCAAATTATTCATAAAAATTTCCTTAGAAACAAAATAGAGTTTATTACGTTATTTTACAACTTTTAAAGTTACTGACGCGGTAGTTTGGGTATGTCAGTAAATTACACTTAGTAACAATGGACAAATATTTCCTAAAATAACTAAAATTACAGGTATACCTAAAAAGTATTATACGAACTTTTAGTATAAAACGAGAAAAAATAGAGTTGATCGTGTCAACTCTGTGATACCCGTACGGATTTCTTATCGAGTATGTGCGAGTAATTATATCATAGCTGACAATTAGACAGACTATGTTTTTAGGTTGCCGTATTACCATATTAATTTATGCCAAATTTCTATACTGCTTTTCAATATTTTATAAGATATGGCCAAGCTACTATTGAAGTTGTACAGCAGCTACTTGTCTTCACGAAATTTCCACAGATTTTATAGTTTCTGAGATATAGTCAAATAACTTTTAAAGTTGTACGGCAGCTACCAGAAGAAGCCAAGAAATTTCAACGACATTTATCAAGCACATTGGTCCTACTAATATATTTTCTTGTGTGAAATTTCGAGATATAGCCAAATAAATTTGGATATTGTATGGCAGGTACCCGAACCTAGTATCGTAAGTACAACGATCATAACCAGTTTAAAGACAATTAATTAACCAACGGACGGACAGATGGACCGACAAAGCTAAAGCGACTCAGAATTCGAAGCTGATCAAAAACATGTACTTGAGTCTATATCTCAGACAAGTATTTCTTAGCGTTACAAACGACAAGACAAATTTAGTATACCCCTCAAACATACATTTGTACAGGTATAAAAAGAATACAGTGTATGCAATATTTTTTATCTGAAAAGTTTTTTTTAATTAATTTTTCAATGTTTAAGAATGTAAGCACAAGTAAAGTAGGAAAAGATTGAATTCTGACATTTTCTAATTAAAAATTTAAAAAAAGTTGGTTTTGTGAGAGATATGTATGATGTTAAAAAGAGCTGTCTATAGATACCATAAGAATACTTGTAAATTCGTCAACTGTGAAATTTTACTCTCTCCTCGGGTTGAGACCTGTATTTCTGCCAGCTGTGGTCAGCACAAAAAAGAATTGACATATAACGGTTTTATTGTTAGCTATTCTACTTAGTCATAGATGTCACTAAATTTCTTAAAAAGAAGAAAATTAAATGACAGTTGTAAAAAGACACTTATCATCTGTTTCACCTGATAGATAAAAAAAAATCCAAAATAAACATAGAATTGTTCGTTCTGGAAATCAAACAGGGGGGAGTTTAATTTTTCGCTGCAATAACATTTCATAAAAATCATTAAAACCGGTGCCATAATATAATCTGAATAAAAATTTTATTTACATACAACTGATAAGGTCAAAGTCTAATGTGTACAATATATACATACATACTTATGTTGTATGTATAAACGTAAATATATTTCTTATCGATGGAACATATTGATTATATAAACACATGCAAGTTTTGTTTTTATAAAATAAAATTTAATAATCTGATTAGATTTGTGAACATTAATATTCTGATAGTGTTAAAGGTAATAAGATTATCGATACTTACATTCGAAGTAAATTTAATTAAGTTTAATTGAACTGAGGAGCACACATGCTGTTGTTGTTATCATTTAAATAAACAGAAAAACACTACATAATATAAAATAAAAGAATAAAAATAAAAAAATCCCAGAATATTTTTGATTTCAATTAAGTATTTGACTAAGAATATAAAATAAATTTAGTTAGTATTAAGTATCTGTTGAAATACGACGGTGTTTATATTTAAAAAATTAAATTAAAAATCGCGGTTAGAAAATTTGGAAAAATAAAGAATTGTTCATTTCATTTAAACTAATTCAAAAATATTAATTCAAAATGCATATCGGTGTAATTGGTTGCGGTATGGTTGGTCTTACGACCGCACTAGAATTACAAAAAGAATTTCGTAATGCACAAATATCGATTGTCGCTGATAAATTTAATGAGGATACTTGTAGCTATGTTGCAGCTGGATTATTTCGACCGAGTACTAGTTTTACTGGTCCAACAAAGGATATAACTTAGTAATAAAATAGAAAAAAAATTAATTAATTAATGATTAAAAAAAATTTTGCTATTATTAGTAAATGGATACAAGATTCCTATGAATATTGGGATAATATTCGGCGTTCATCGGAAGCATCAAAAGCTGGTGTTTGTCAATTATCTGGTTATATATTTTCAAAAGTGAATCCCAGTATAGTAAGGGTGAGAAAAAAATGTTATTTTGGTTCGATTTGTTATTCTATAAGTACCTATAATGAAAAATGATAATTTTACAAAATAATATCAGTATACAATTAAGTAAAGTGTGTTATATGAAAGTTTAAGCATGAATTCATAGAATCAACTACTTTCTGAATTTTAAATTCTAAAATTATAGAAAAAGAATATTATCATAAATTTATTGAAATGAAAAGTGAACAGATGAACTTTCAAAAATAAATTAATATTAATTTGCAAAATAAGAATCCGACCTAATTTTGTAAAATATAAGTAAAAGTTTGTTCAAACAGGAAAAAAATCTAATCGAAAGTTTTCTTTATCAAATTAAAGGTTTTTAAGTGTAATTGAAGCTATTTCTGGTCATTTTCACATAAAGATAATGGGAAGCTTAAAAAAAGTTTGAATATTTAATAAGAAATTTGAAACATGTTGCCATAACTTCAATAATAAAAGATGATATTAAAAAATAAAAATTTGTGCTCTTAAACATTTGCATGGTAACGCAATGATAATTGAAAAGTCTTTTCTAATAAAAAGTAAGAAAAGTGTCATTAACTAGAAATCTAATTCGAAAAGCAATTCACCTTCTGAAATTTGTTATTATCATTTTGATTCTTTACATTTTCTCGTATTTATCAATTCTTTAAAGGAACTTTTAGTTGTTCTACAGTTTTTTTCCACAGTTTGTAAAAAATTTTATTTATGTAAGACTTTAAATGAAGTGTTTTATTAGTAATAGTTTATTTATTTGGAGTTGCAAACTCCAACTGAAAGATTGGAGAAATAAAAGTTAATTGAAAAAAGAGAGAAACTGGCTTAAAAACACTATTTAAAAAATATGTTACTAATCAAATTCGAATTTGTTAAATAATAGACTTCAAAAATTGAATTATTTAATTGCAAAAATGGTTGTGGAAGTGTGTGAGCTTAAGATTGCCAAGAAAATATAAATACCTAGATTAAAATAATAAGTAATGTGTAAAATAGCGGTCTTTGAAAAATAACTAATGTAAATTTTTGTATATGAAACAAATTTTTATTTTTGCAGAGTGTTTTACAAATAACAGTTACTAACCGTATATTCAATGCTTGAAAAAAATAAACAAAAAACTTTTTTTAATCAAAAGAAAGAAAAATCCCCAATATCCTATTCTTGAAATGCGTCCATAAAAGATTAATCCTATTTTTTCACTTTCGTATAAAGTTCGATTACTTAGCTATTACAAAAGTAGACTCATCCCTTAAAATTAATTGTGACATTAGTGGTTATAAAATGAAGACTAAACATACATAACGTGACCCTTTCCTAAAAATTTCCAACTGGGTTGTTGTTCGGTTTCTTAAAATTCAAATAATTCTAAAAATGTTTATTAAAGCTTGTTTAAAATATGCTAAAAAAAAATTCATCTTGTCTGAATATTTGTGCTACAGCTATATGGAAATTTATTAAACTATAAAAAAAAAGTTTTTTTTACTGTAAATAACGAATCAGTTATTTATTTAAAAATAAAGGTCATTAGCCCTTTGAATTTTTATTTGTTCTAAATTGAAACTGTTTCAATTGTGACAAACAAATGCCGAAATTAAATTGTTAACTAGAAAATTAAATCGCTATAATATTTTTTTCATGAAAACTCAATCACTATAATAGAAATTCTTCCCTTTTAAGATTTGTATTTTTAAAACACTTTTCAATTCAAATGTTTCCATCTTATATGTTTGCTTGCATGTTATATTTCATTCTGATCTACTACTGTCATTTTAAAAATAAATACTTTAATATTAATTTCAGAATGAATTTCTTGAAAAAGTTTTACCAATTTATCGTCAAGCTGATGAGCGTGAACTAAGATTATGTCAAGGAGATTGGAAGTACGGATCATTTTTTACGACAATTTTAACGGAATCAAAAATGTTTTTACCATATGCAGCAGATAAGTAAGAAAACAATAATCTTTTCTACAATTAATTGGAATTAAATATGTAAAAATTTCTAATAAATAGATTTATTCAACAAAATGGTAAAATTCATTCCCAGAATATTGAATCATTTTCAAAATTACAAGGAAAATTTGATATTATCGTAAATTGTACTGGCTTAGGTGCTCAAAATTTATGTGAAGATCAACAATTAGTTCCAATACGGGGTCAAATAATTAAAGTTAAAGCCCCTTGGATTAAAATGGCCTTCTATGGAGAAAATGACACTTATATAATACCAGGATTTGAAGGTGTTATATTAGGTGGTTGTCGACAATACGAAAGTTATAAAACTGAAATTTGTCAGTATGATAAAATGTCAATACAAGAAAGATGTTATAATATGTTACCAAGTTTGAAAAAATCTCAATTTATAAGAGATGCATGCGGACTAAGACCACATAAATCTATTGTTCGTGTCGAACCGGAATTTTATGATACAAAAACAAATGGTAAATTGAAAATCGTACATAATTATGGACATGGTGGTTATGGAATTTGTACATCTCCTGGAACAGCCAAATATTCAGTTGAGTTAGTAAAAGATTTACATTCGTCAAGTAATTTAAGCAAATTATGAGTATCTTTAATATTAATATAAGAATATTTGATTTTATTAAATTGAGAATCTTTATATAGAAAACTTATATTCTTTGTCTTCCTTTTCAAAAATATTAATTATTAAATATGTAACAATTGTGTGTTGTATTTCATGCATTAGGTAAAAATATTTAAATAAAATTATGTATATATTTTTATTGTTTATTTCCAACAAGATTGCCTATATATCTGCCTATATACTTGATAATGCTTAATAATTTTGGAAACTATTCCCAAGTTACCATAGACTTACTTTTATTTATAAAGCAATAATTTTTATGATTCAATTTTTTATACTTATGATGTAATTAAATTAAGAACTAGCGCGTATCTTGAAAATTAATTTACTTGCTTCAATTTTATTTTCTCGCTTTATAATATGGTCTTCCTCCTTTTATTTTTAAAATCATGCTCAGTTAAATTTTGCTTTTATAAGACATAATTCACGACATGTTAGATAATTTAACATAGAATTATGCAGACCAAAAAATTAACAGATAAAAATCAGTAGACAAAATTAACATGCTTTTTATTGGCGAAAAACACGCTTACAAACAAATAAAAATATTTATAGAAAATAAAATTTCTTCATTTTGTAGTCAACTTAAAAAGATTTTTAACATTACCTTAGCTAAATTCAAGTCGATGCTTTTAATATTCTTAAAGAAGGGATGGTTTATGTTAAAGAGTACAAAAAGGAATGATTTGCAATTATTTTGCAATTTAGATAAAAGAAGAAACTCAATATTGAATTTAATAAGCGGAATAATTATATTCCCTATACCCACAAAATTTCAAGTTTAAAAGAAATTGAAAGAAGTGTATATCTAGTTAGATATACATATATATATATTGGAAAATTAAATAACCCAAAAAATTTCTACATAATTATGTATGTAATTATAAATAGAAAATTAAAATCAACTGTTTATTTGATTCTTAATAAATTATACTTTGAAAAACAAAATATCTAACAAGTAAGTCTTCGATATCGGATAGGTGCATTCACAAGGTTGTTTCAATATTTTTAGAACATTGCAACCTTAAAAGCTACAAATAGAGTAACTACATTATTTCAAAATTATTCTAAAACAGTAAATCATTTTCGTTAAGGTCACCATAACAACAAACTTAGGACACAGCTTCAGTGGTAATAGAAAAAAAGACTTGTTGGTTAAAGTATGACACCTAAAATTTTTCTAAGAGAATGTAAAAATTATTATTTGTCTAGATAGACATGAGATTTTCAATATTTTTAAACTTCGTTTGCCAATCTAAATAAAAAAGAAAGATTTCTTTTCTATTACGTAATCATGAAATATAATTAAATTTTATTAATTTAACGCTCATATGGTATTAAAAATATAAGAATATGTAAGTTCTCACTTACCTTGATATGCTTCTATCCTTTGTGCAAACGCAACTCAAACTTTTTTCAGATTGACATTTTGAGCCACATATTGAACTTTCACAATATCTGCAACGATTATAGCTAAAAGATGATGTGCATAGAGTGCAAAATGAATCTAAACGATCTGAATCAATTCGGTCTGTTGTATTAGTTGTAGTTGTTGTTGTTGTAATTGTTGCAGTAGTTGATGTTTCAAAATCTGTTGATATATTATCATCTTCAGCACTAAAATCATCAGTTTTTTCATCTTCTTCATCATCATCACGATCGTCTGATGAAAATTCAAAACTAACACTTTCAGAACCCCATTCTCGTTCAGATTTCCGACGATATGAGAAACTATTGCTCATAGGACTTGAACGAAAATTGCCATTTGTATGAGGCGAAAATGTTCTCATATCATATTTACTCGTCATTGACAAATTCTCATTAAAATAGATTATGTTGACGTCATTATATTTATTTAAAAAATTTCCAGAGTATTGCTGATGGTGGTGATGATGACGATGATGATGATGATTTTTTGGATTAGTAGACATTGTCCGATTTGTAATATATCGCTTTTTCTTTGGTCGCGTTGATATTGGTGATGGCGTTAACTTTAATAAATCAAACAAACACAGCTTGATGTCAAACATGCTCTTAACAGATAGACATTTTAATTTTTTCCATTTTGGTTGTTAAATTTTTCATATCTGTAAAATAAAAAGATTTGATAATTTAATATTAATTTATATTCGTGGAAAGTTTATAACAGTTAAGTTAAAGTAAATCATCTTTTATGTCACCTACATTCCCTAGCATAAAATAGTGACATCTTTGGAACGCTTTTTATACTAAATATAAAAAAAGGCTCAAAATGAGGTGAAACAAGTTTACGCTCAAGAGTTGAAAACAAAGTAAACGTATTTTACAATATTTCATTTAATACGACATTGAAATATTCTAGTATTAAACAAAATATGAAACGCTCATACCTTGCATGATTGGGACAGGAGTATAAATCCTGATCTAAACAATTATTTTAATGATGTAATTAATCAACTTATTTTAATTCAAATTTAAAGCATTGAACTCAAAATAATACATAAAGCTACATATTGTGGTAAAATATTTATTTTGTTATTCTTATACATATTATTTCGTTCTTTTCCTTAGTTTAAGTTTTTATATATTGCTATTACGTTATTTTACATGCTTTCAACTCTTTATAATCAATTAATTTTTGAAACTTCATAATCTAGAAGGAATATAACTTTCACATACATTTTATTTATTAATTGTGCTAACATACATGATATTTAATAATAATATTTTGCCTGATAATTCATTTTGCTTACATATTAAATTTTAAATGGCGAGTTTATTATGGTTATATTTAATTAAACTTGCGTATATAATAACAATATCCATCGCGTTAATTTAAATTTTGAAAAGAGAATGAAAATAAAAATTTATATTAATTTTCAGAAATAGGTTAGTGTCCATAAATATTAGTCATACATACTTTTATAATTTATTATTTTGAATTTAAAAATGGGCTTTATTATTTTAATTTTGAGGCATTGGTTTGTGTTTATACTTTTATAACTTGGTAATATTAAATTTGAGAACAAAATGAGAGTTTGAATGTTTTCATATTAATTTTGAGCAACTGGTTTGTGTCTATACTGATTTTCATACTTTTTTTTTTTTTTAAATAAAAACTTTTTAAAAGCTGGCAGTGCCGTGATTTATTATTGTATTCACCACAGATGTCGCATTTGACATATTTGAAAGTATCTTTATACACAACACTTTGACAAAATATTTTTTTGACGTTTAAACTAGAAATATGAAGTTTATAGTTTATAATAAAAAATAATACCTCGTTGTTTTGTTTATATTTTGCTTATTTTACTACATAGTTTATTAAATTACAGTCACTGAAGTAAGTAGTTGAAAAATTTATTGAAAATGTTTTTCAGGATAATGAAATTTAATATTCTGTTAGATAAATAATTAATATGAGTACAAGTAAAGGAAGTACTAAGAGAACTCGCCCTCAAAAATACCAGAATCGTACATCATTTAAAAACACCTTGCATGATAAAAGCGATTTTCAAAAAAAGTTGAACAATTTAAATGTTTGTGAAGTTTGCATCCATTGCAAAGGTGTTATAGAATGGAAAATAAAATATAAAAAATATAAGCCATTAACGCAACCAAAAACATGTATAAAATGCCGACAAAAAACGGTTAAAAAAGCTTATCATGTTATGTGTAGGGAATGTGCGCTATCCTCAAACTGCTGTGCTAAATGCTTGAAAAGTTCTCAAGAAGTTGACATTGTTCCTGCTGAGCCAACTGAAGAAGAGCAACTAAAACTCAAAGCGGAAATGGATAAGTTAATAAAATCCTTACCAGAACGTAAACGTAGATCATTTTTAAGATATATGGCGAAAGGAAAAAAATGTGAAGATGAACTATTGAAAGATGAAAATTGTAAGAGTAGTGAAATTAGTCCAAATGAAAAAGAGGTTGAAAATCGGAAGGATAATAAAAGAATTCCACATAGTCGTGAAGCATTATTAAAAAAAATTGAAGAATTAAAATTTAACGAAGATGAAAATAGTGACGATGATGTTGATAATGAGGATGAGGATGATGATAGTTATGATCTTAGCGATGAAGATGAAGAAGATTAAATTTTTGTTTTATTTAGACGTCATCGTAAAAAAGAATTAAAATGGATTTTTTTTATTACATAGTATCTTTTAAAGGAAAGAACGCTGGCAATTCGATTAAGATTTATGAATTGAAATAGTCCACGTGAGTCCTTCTTTTTTTTCTGTAAAGAATTTAGTTACATCATATTTAAAAGGAAAATAAATTATAGAAACAGCATTTGAAAATTTTGATAATGCTAAACAAAAACTATGTAAAAGGTCATATTGCTAGCAGTCTATTTCTAAATAAAAAATACTTTTTAATATTACAGTACACACACAGTTTAAATATATTTAAATACATTTTTTATTGAATTATGAATAAAAATAGATACTATATACGATTTAAAATGTACTAGACAACAAATTTAATTAATAAACTATAAATTTTAAAATTTTATTGTTATGCAAGAATAATAATGTAAATTTTAATTATTTTTATAAATATTGCATATGTTTAGGCTAGCAAATTTGTTAATTTTTGTTTTTTAATTTTCTTTAAGATTTTAATAAGCAAATACAAAATTTTACTTTAAAAATAATGAATGAGACAAGTATTTCAAAAACAATATATGTGAAAAATTGAAATTTAGCCACGAATGACATTCTTACTTCAATATATTCCTTAAGCTATTTTTTAACTTATACAATGCAAGTTTAAAATTATAGGAACAATTGCTATTCTTTATTTCAAATGTAGACGGTTGAAATTTGATTGTGGATTAATTGCACTAACCGACAGTTACCATTTTGCTAAAGTAATTTGTACATAATATTCAAAGTTTTAATTTTCATTTACTATCACTCGTTTAGACAAAATATTATACATTTTAGACATTCAATATGTAATATGGAACAACGCATTTGGTATCACAACCTTAAAATCAATTGTAATAATTAGCTAGGAAATCTCTGCAGTATAACATTTTTGCCCCAAATTTTCACAAATCATAAAGATCAAAAATATTTCTGATTGAACTTTAAAAACACTATTACATAATTCTTGTCTCAATATGAAATTTAAGTATGTATTTGTTTGGAAATTTTTTAAATTATTCGTTGTACAATAAGTTTAAATATTAATCGGAAATATTTTTATTAAAACATTGACAAACTGCATTATATATATGTAATATAGACAACTAGAATTAAAGTTTCCCTATTTTAGAAAATTTTTAAATTATATAATATTATTGTCATACTTATAGCTCACTTAAACACAGTCTTTCATTGAAATAAAAGGACTTTGTACGCTCTTCCATGTATAAGTACATATGTATAGGTAGTCATTTACGTATCGATTTTTCACAATTTTATTACGTATAAAGAACCTAAAAGGATTAATTATTCATATTCACTTTCAGTTTCATCAGTTTCAGTTTCGTCGACTTCTTCAATTCTTCTTAATTCTTCGATTTTTCTCAATAATGTCTCTTTGGAATGTGGAACACGTCTGACAACAAAAGTTTTTAACTGTTGCTCAGAATTATTTTCACTTGTTGCTGCTAAATTCTCTGCGGCAACTAATTTTTTCGGTGATATAGAACTTTTATAGTCTTTAAAATCATTTTGCTCGTTTTGTTGTTGACCAGATAAATTTTCTAAGCTTTTCTCTGAAGCAGATTCTTTTATAGTTGCTGGTAGAATAATTTTAGTTTTTACCTTTTTGCCTCTACGCATAAAACGTAGAAATTTGTTCCTTTTACGTTCTGGCAAAGTCTTTATTAATTTATCGATTTCTTTCTTAAATTTCTGATGTTCTTTATCTGATGTAACAATGGGGGATGGAATACACTCATCATCTTTGATAATTTCCATACATTTAGCACAAATGTGTTCTTTTACAGCACAGTGATTACATATAGCATGATAAGATTTTTCAACAGTTTTTAATTTACATTTTTCACATGCTTTTGGATTTGCCAAAGGTTTATAACCAGGACTTTTTATGAGATTTTTTATTTTATCCTTACAGTCATGACACACTTCAATTCTTGTATTCATTATTGCTTTTATTAAATTTTCAAACAATAGGCTTATTTGGTATTGAGTGTTTTCCTTTTTCTACTTTTGAATACTTTGAAAATAAAGAAAACTTATAGAAATTTAAAATACTTCATTCTATGAAGTACCCTTTGAATAACAGTATCATGCAAGAACTGTACATTAATGAAAAGAAAATTGACAAATTGATGTGAACAATGCTGTAATGAAAAAATTGACTTTATGATGTATTTTTGTTATTGTTATTTCGACGGTGAAGCATCATTTCGTCGAATTTGTGTACATCATCAGCTGTACGTTATTATTTTTTTATATTATAAAGTTCGAAGATTGTAACAAATTTGACGTTATGTCTGTAACATTAAACAAATAATAAAAATAGAATATCAAAACTTTACAATTTTTACTAAAGTTTTACCTATTCGGTTATAAATTACTTAAATTTAATTTAGCTTGATATTTTTATACACTGCTATAACATATTCTTCTTTAAAGTGAAGATGTTTAGAGGCTATAAGTCACCTATATAAATGTATGCATGTATATAAATTTTTATAATGAATATACCATTAAGATAACGGTCTGTGTATAGACACAAGTATATTATGTTTTTTATCAGTCTAAGTCGATTTAGTCTGTCCGTTTTTCCGCCCGTCACAGTGATAACTCAAAAAATTAATTGAGTTAAGTTTACCAAATTTTAGCAAGTGGTTAATTATACTAAATGCCACTATTAGAGTTGGATGCAATCGAGGCAATTGTTCGGCTAGATGCCATATAACTTCAAAAGCTTTTAGGCTATATCTCAGAAGTTATAGAACCTATATACATAATTGAAATTTCGTATACAAGTGAATATTTTATTACGGATATTATATTTGAAAAAAACACGTTGAAATTATCTCACTCGTAGTGTTGATTGTTAAACAACCTCACAGTCATTCAGTCTGAAATTTTGCCATTATTATTTTCCGTAAAAGATTTTGAAATGTTATAAGATTATGTAGTAACTGCCAAATATGTATAAATTAGCGCTAAAAAACTAACTGGCAATTTTCTATTCTAGTTGTAAATAAAATTTATTTAGTACAATTTAAATTAATTTTTAAAAAAAAGTTATGTGTTCTTTAATATATTTTAAATTTATATTATCATTAGCATTCTTATTATTATTAGAATTGTTGTTTGCGTTTACACATTATCTAGAATCTAGATGAATATTATTATAATTGGTAATATGGTTTAAATATTTTTTCAACATTATATAAAAAAGTATACTAGTTCAGAAAAAATATATCTATAAAAAATAATATTAATGACCCCGTCAGCACATAATTATTAGTAATTAAGTAACGTCTTAATTATTGGCATTATAAACTAATAAAAACTTGATTGGCACTATGGTTTTTGTTTTAATTTATAAAGTTGTAAGATTTTAAATTTAAAACCAATTTATTTTAAAGCATTTTATTAAATTATTTAATAAAATGCTTCAAAAACAATTGTTTTGTCAGTTTAAATGTTCACACCTTTCAAACAAATTTAGCACAAGATAACTAAGTTTTGTTTTACTTGCTTGTTACTTTTGAAAAAAAAAAAATAATTTCTGCTTGGAGCGTAACATCTTTGATTATAATAAATTATTATTTAAATTATGAACGGTCGTTTTTCAATAAGCAACATAATTTGAGTTTTTGTACAACAACGAATTATGTAAAAACGCGACAAAATGCTGAGTTATTAAATAAAGACGGTGAGAAATTTTAAGATGCCATAGAAAAATTAAATATGTAACAATTTTGTAAATAAGAGCAATTTTAACAAATTTAGTTCAGATTTGTATCAGGTTAAAAACTTTAACGACGATGGTATCTAAATACCTTTATATTTTTGTTTTTATTTCTTAATTTAAAAAAAAATAGGACAAATTTTTGTATAAAAAGTGTAATGAACTATGTAAGAAAGAGTTTACCATTTCGTTCGGTTATTATTTCTGATGAGATTAGACAGGAAATATGGCAAAATGACAGACAAAACTTTAGCAATTCACGTGTGTGTGCGAATCTAAAATATTACAAAATTTCGATTATGTAGATTAAAAAAATAGAGAATTTATAGTACATTGGATGCGTAAGGTTAATAATAGTAATTTTGTGCATTACTTGTCTATGTAAGACAGTAATGCACAATTAGATTACGGATTAGTTTTAAATATTAAAAAAATTATTTTAATTTCAACTAAAAATCGTTCACAACGGAGAAAAGAAATTGAAAAGTTTCCTTTGGAATTTAAAAATTTTTTAGACTTCATTTTGGACCATTTCTAACAACTCTGTTAGAAAATTTTTATTCAAAATTAACACAGGTATTAACTTTTTTTTCATCTGGATAGTTTAAAATTTTCTTGTAGTCTACTAGGAGTAGATTAATCTATTGCTGTCATTGTTAGAAGCATTCTTCTGAATAAGTCAAATTTATTGAAAATCTAACTCAAAATACATAATATGTAATAATTGTAATGTAAAAATTAATTTTGAACTGTATAAGTATACAAATGCAAACCCTGGACATATTCGTTTTTTCAAATCACAAAAATGAAGGTTTTCACAACCATATTATCAAAGATAAAATTTGAAATTTTCTTGTTAAATGATTTTTAAAGTATTGCATATGCAAAAAACTTTACTAAATTTACAACTTTTGAAATGATAAATTACGATTTTTCTCTATTCTCGTTTAGCATAATAGCTAGTGATACTCTTTTGGAGTTTCACTTGAATATGTAGTATAAGATAAGCGATTGTTTCCGTATTACATTGCAAGCTTAAACGTTGATAATCCACAATCTTTATGTAATTTGAAAAGAAAACTTCCTGTTGTCCGTTTCTAATTATTGATTATTTTTTCTTTATTATTTAGTGGCCACATTATTCTATATTAAAACTATAATAAATTAAATTTCAAAATATATATGTACATATATATTTTTTATATTAAATTATTTTAGTTTTATAAATTCGGAAATAAATCATTTTATTACTATTATTCTTTCATTATATCCATATTATATATGACAAGATATTATCAAGTTTCATTGTAGTCTACATCAAACTAAAAAGAGAAGAAAGTGTTAAAAATCAAAAATTATCATTTATGTGATTTGTATCCAATTTGCATTAAAAATTGTAACAGTATAGTTTTGAAAGCAATGATTTTATGGTACAAAAATACATGATTGCTGACTAATAATGGCAATCGAATATAAAAATGGAGTTTATAAACAATCAATTGAACAAATAACATTTCCATTAATTTCAGTTAGTGAATACAGAAATGGAAATTTTATGATATAAATAATTTTATTTAACCGTTTGTTGACCAAAGTGTGTTTTTAAGTTTAAAAATTATTTTTAATAATATTGCATTGCAAATTATTTATTTACATATTTTAACTAAAAGCCATTAGTTCTCTAATATTATATTCAAATACAGTTTACTTTGAGAGATTTGTCTTTCAATTCACATATCTTAATCGAGAACTACGGGCAACAGTACCGAATTTTTTAATTAGCTAATCAAAAAGGTTTGTAAAGTTTTTGACACACCAAGAGCTAATTTATATGAGTGTTTTGGCATTTCTTCCAAAAGTTTAAAAGTAAAAAGTAAAAGTAAAAATGGTTGGTACAATAGAGCCCTGAGCCTAATTACTTTTGTTTAATCAATTTACTTTTTAATAAAAAACAACTTTTGTAAAAAGTTTCAAAGTAAAAATAAAAGCAAAATGATTGTAGTTTACTAGAGTTTTAATTCTTGGTGTAGCAGAAAATTTGCAATTTTTTTTGTTTATTTGGTTAAGAAATTGGTTAGTGCAATAGGGGCCAGATGCTAACTTCTCTTAAGTTATATGAAATGTACATGCCTAAGCCTTTTTGTATAGTTAAAACATACTCGTAATAAGAAAAGATGCCTTTATGAATCTCATTTCAAATGTAAAATAAATTTAAAAATACATAGATTTAAAAAAAAATAAGAAATTAGAGTAACTTTGATTAGTACTGATTAGTGAAATTAGATTAATGTACTCTTTTTTTAAAGCTTCACTAAAAATGGAGATTCCAAATTTAACAATTCGCTCGGATATTCTTAAAGTTTTAATAAATTTATATTGCAAAGTTGAGTACTGCTGATATAATGAATATAGCTACTGATTTTATTCTAAATTGAAAAAAATTAAATGACATTTTAGGTGTTTATTTCCACATTATCGTTTTCCTATATTGTAGCTGAGATTACAACCAATCAGTGAAATTACACAATACATGCAAATATACTTTTTTGTTTGTTATTTTATTTTGAATAATTTTACTTTTCACTGAGCTTTGATAGCATAATTATTCGAAATTTCATCTATTTTCTCTAAGAATGCATACATACATACGTATAGGTATGAAAAATTGCAACTGAACTTAAAAAATATATTTATCTCACCTTAAGTCAACTTTATTAATTGATGGGAATAGAAAGAAACTGTGTCATTATGATCTTATCGTAAAATTACTATAAGTACTTACTGTGTGCTAAAAAGTATACTAAACACAAAATAATATAACACAAATAATGTTTAAAATACAAAATATGTATGTACATATGTGTATATACATACGTCCTGATCTTATTCATTCACTACGATGGTACAAACAAAACTAAGTATGTAATTTTATTTAAGTTTAGTGATGTAAGAAAATTGTAATTTGAGCTACATAAACTCAATATGAGAAATTGGCGTATGGTATAAATAAAAATAAAGAGAAACGTGTTGTAAAAAAACTAAGAAAATACTTGAAGAAGACGTTTTGAACATTAACACTTGCAATTAATTGTCTTATAGATGTATATATATACATACGTTAATATAAATTGGATTAAAAATTATGTACCAGTTAAATATATTAATACAATTAAAAGAGGGAAATAAAAACAATTTAAAATGCTCTGTTTAACATAAAATTCTCGAATAAAATTTAAGTTTTTCCATGTTTACTAAATTACAAATTTCTTCTAGATTTAACATGATTTTAAAATTTGTAAATTTTTATTTAAAAGTTAATCAAATAGAAAAAGAAAATATGTTATTTA